GTAATAGACCTCTGGATAGTTCATGAAGAGGAAGAAAAGAGAAACCTGTTAGCGGGAGCATTGGTTGTAATCTATGTATTTGATTGTCAATGACAGGATCCTAAAATTACACCCAAATATCTCTCACAGGTTCTGAAATTGAGTTTCTGAAAAAGCACCGTAGTTGTAATAGAAGTAAAGAGCAGAGTTCCAGAGAAATGAGCTGTGAATTGAACCTGCAGTGGAAATTGATCCTCCCAGTCAGTTTCTGCCCTTATTCGTAGGAAAACAGGACTGAGTGTAGAAGGAGCCAGGATCACTGATTAAATAGGATGCTAAAGTGCCGGAGGCTAGTACTGGGCTTGCTGGTCCCCCAGGTCAGGACTGTGACTGTCAGACTTCTCTGCATGAAACCTGGCTGGAACTGGCAGAAAGAGAACAGAATGAAAAATGCTGCCGCCAGCCTGGGAAGCGGTAAGAACTCCCTGACTAAGCTTCAGGCATGACAGCCATTGCTCTCCTCAGGGAGGCTGTTCTAGTCTCTTATCGTGAGTCACTGGGCCCAGGTTGGGCCGCCTGGCCTCATGATTCACGCCAGTGGGGCCTGTCATGAGACCCATTCCAGTGTGGGCCAAGGGTGTGAGTGTGAAGAAGAACGGCCTTGGAAGCGACTCGCATCCCCAGTAGCACCTCCAGGATCATGAGGAAACAGAAGCAAATATCTGCCTAGTGGTCCTGTGAATATAATTAATTACCCTGTTATCTAACCCTAAGAGATTTATTTTGTGCACATATAATGGTAGTAATATATTCCAAGTGTTTTTGGCAGTGCTCACATTCTGCTCCTAGAAATGCAGTATGAGTTGTAATTAGCCGACTGAAATTACACATTTCTGGTTATGAAGTTGCCATTTACTGCCTACGGTGTGATATATTTCTACAACAATGCCCTTCAAAGTCTGCAGCGATCATCAGTATAACTCACTGGAGTAAATGTCCCCATGGAATGCCTCATTCACACTTAGCAGCGCGCTAATCGAAATGGTTCCAGCAGACGCATTGAAGATAAAGGTTCTATAAAACACTAACTTAAGATGTAACCATTATACACCATTTCTGGATCAGAGCTTGATTTTCAGAATGGCAGAAGAAACGAAAGCAATAAAATCAGGCCATTTGCTTAGCATGACTTGAAAGGATTGTCAGATTCCCTTAGTCCTTGTACTTATCCTGTCAACGTTACCCTCAAAAAAGAATGCATCACAGGTAGTTGGCAACTCACAGCGTTCAGTTTATGTTACCAGCTCCCATTTTCCCATCTCACTTAACTAATTCTTACCTTCTGGCCCTGGTGAGAGAAATGACAGCTCTCCATCTAAGGTGGACCTCGTTGCCTGCGTTGTGGTATTTTTTTCTAAGTTTACTTATTTATTTTGAGAGAGAAAGTGTGTGTGTGAGCAGGGTGGGCAGGAGGCAGAGAGAGAGAGAGAGAGGGGACGTCCCAGTCAGGCTCCACACCATCAATGCAGGAGATTTTGATCCCACAAACCACGAGATCATGACCTGAGCCAAGATCAAGAGTTGGGCACTCAACTGACTGAGCTACCCAGGAGCCTCTGCATCATGGTATTGATTCAATTTCTCTCTTAAGTTTTCCACTAGTGGAGAAGTCAGGGGATGGCTGGAATGGAGCGATAAAGTGACATTCATCCCTGCCCCCTGTTGATATGATGTGCCCCTGCCATTTTGGCGTGGACATATTAGGAGACACAACAGCATTATACTCGAGGCAAAGGCCCAAGAGAACATAAATGGTGATATCTTGTTTGTAACAGCTTCTGTAAGATAGTGTTGTTCTGGTGGTGAACCAGAATCTTGAAGATTCAAGCCAATGAGCACACGCCTCTTTGCATCTAAGGTTTAGACCTCAAACAGCCTCTGTCTCTAGTCTGCTAGTTACCCCTTTCGACAGTAGCAACTCTGGAACCTTGGCCACAGATGTGGTTGTTTTGTGCTAGGCTTAGCTGTTTTCTTTGACAAATTTATGGGAAGTTTGAGACATGATTTTACCATGATGGAATTTTTAGAGGTATTAACAGAGGGGAAGCCAGCATGCATTTCAAGAAAACTTGACCAGTAAGTAGACTGAACCCTTGGCTTTTTTATTCCTGGAACTTAGTCCACGCCTGTATTTTCTTGACTAAGAACTTGGTCCATGTGTGTATTTTCTTGACTAAGAAATGATGCAGGCCTGTTTATGTAATAGAAAGTAGTTTTTTTTTTATGGAAATTAAGTTAGAACTGCATTGTTTAAACTAATATCTGAAACATTTAGTCATTTTATTAGTAAGTAGAATTGATGAAAACCTTGGGAAAATGCTTTAGAACAGTTCTCTTGGATACCTGTGATTAATAAGGAAAGGGGCAAAGAGATGTTTGTTAATCTGTTTATGTATAAGGGATCTGGAGCATATTAAAAGTTTTGTAAACATTCAACTAACAAAGCATTATATAAAATTAGACATTTCCTTTACATTGCAAAACGTCATGAGACTGGAAAAAACTGTCAATGTTATTTACAAATAACTTATTTATGATATTTCCCCTAATACTAGCAATTTAAATATAAGACATTGATTTAGTAGTAAGGTGCATTCCATGAGGATGCCACTCAGGATTCTCTGGGGGAGTTTTTGTCTCACTCGTCCTTGGTTCCTAGAATTACTATAGGACAGAGTAGCATGATGATCATTATTAACCTCATTTTATGGTTTGAGCAGATATCTGGCTGATAAATCCCATCTTGCACATATAAAACCAAGGTATTATTTCTGTTGAAGTGTTTTCATTTGTTGGAGGTCACCGGAAAGGAAGTAGTTAGTAATTCTAGGTTCTACCTACGTCCTAAGTGACGGAGAAAACAAGGAATTTATGCACAAACGGAAATCAAGAAATGAACTTCAATGTTAGTCCAGACAAATCTCCAATAGCCACAAAGTATAGATAGAGTTTTCTGGCAAAGCTGAAATGGGGAACATGGCGTAGACCCCTCTTCTATGGAATTAGAAAGAGAAGAGGAAAGAATCTTCACAAGCACTTTTGTTCAAAGATTAAATGCATGCGATCTTTATTATATTTTACAGTCTGTGGTCATGTTTTAGGTGGGTTTGGGGATATCTTGAACATTCTAATTTAAATCTAATAATTTCTTTATTTTGGTAGATACTCTGCAGTAGAGAGTTAAAGCAACACGGTTCGTTGTCAGACATATATGAATTCAAGAGCCATAGTGAAACCTTGAACCAAGTTCTTGGACCCACCTTGGCTGCAATTTTTTTCATCTGTATATTGGGAAGAATAGCACTTGATTCACAGGATTGCTTTGAGGAATAGAGACTGTATAGAAAGCAAGTCACACAGAATAAGTGCACATACAGTAAATAGCTATTATTTCTCAAGTTTTCATGCTGATTTTCCCTTACCAATCATGGATCTCTTTACATTCATGTGTGATGACCACAATTCAGGAAAACAAACAGTCAGAATATATGGAGTAAGTATATTTATGGATAGTCCAAAACAGAGCATTTTAGATGAGCAAATCCACGAAAGGTAAACTGCTTAGAAAAGTGTATAGCAAATAGTAAGTGCTCAATAAATGTTATGTATCTTTTTTACATGTATTCATTTTATTGAGAGACAGAGGGAGAACACAAGCAGGGGAGGGAGGGGCAGAGAGAGAGAGAGGGAGACACAGAATCTGAAGCAGGCTCCAGGTTCTGAGCTGCCAGCACAGAGCCCAACACAGGGCTTGAACCTACAAACCATGAGCTCATGACCTGAGCCGAAGTCGGATGCTTAATGGAATGAGCCACCCAGGGACCCCATGTTTATTTTTAAAGTTTGTTTTTTTCGAGAGAGAGAGACAGAGAGAGAGAGAGAGAGCATGAGCAGGGGAGGGGCAGAGAGGGAGGGAGAGAGAGAATCCCAAGCTAACAGCAAGGAGCCTGACACGGGGCTTGATCTCTCGAACCGTAAGAAATCAAGAGTTAGATGTTTAACCATCTGAGCCACCCAGGCACCCCAAATATTATGTATTTAGTACTGTGGTTTTCATCATCATCTCATGAACAAGTTAAAGCTTTCTCTGTATATATTCTTTCTTTTAAAACTTTTAAAATACTTATATAGTCCCTGCAAATCATTTAGATTTCTAAGTTTGAAACTCTGTATCTGGAGCTTGGGCTCAGCAGTAATATGAAGACATTGTCAGGGATAGGAAAGAACTACTTGTAGAGTAATTGCATGAAATTCTATGCAAATCAAAACGCAGAAAAGGCCTGGAGTCCTGTTCAGAGGTTTATGCTCTCTAATCGTTAGGTTATTTCATGCTGAATTCTCAAGCTTTTTCTCTTATGTTTTCCAATTACATAATTGTAAATTAATTTTAAAAGATAAAACATATTTGTCAATTCACATTGAGATTGGTTTCATGTGTCAGAGCCTCAGAGGAGAAGAGCCTTAAAGAAAAGCACTGTATTTCCCTCTAATGAAAATTTTGGAAGTTGTCAGTTCAGGGATAGACTGGTAACTCAGTGATTATTAGAAACTCTGGGTCCTTCATCATTGCCTTGAATGGTTAATGTTTATGTGCCTCATGGCCCATCCTGTTGGCATGAGCGAAAAACATCATATCCTCAATCCAGCAAACAGGAAGGAAGAAGGAGAAAAGATGGTGAGCTCCTTTTAAGGACGCCTCCCAGAAACCGTTCTTGATCTCATCTTGTATGCCAATCACCAGAATTTAGACACAGAGCCACACCTCACAGCAGAAGCCACTGAAGATTCTGCTCTTTATTCTGGGTGGCTTTATGCCCAGTTACGATTTAGGGATTTCGTTATCATGGAAGAGACCAGATATTCAGGACAACTAAGACTATGTGTGACATCTGGGCTTCACCGACCTCTTACAATTCATTTCTCTTCTGTTTTCTTGTTCCTCCTTTTCTTTTATGTATTAGATCCCATGCGTGGCCCAAGAAAACTGGAAGTGGTGGAAGTCAAGTCTCGACAAATCACCATCCGCTGGGAGCCATTCGGATATAATGTAACTCGCTGCCATAGCTATAATCTCACGGTCCACTACTGTTACCAAGTGGGAGGGCAGGAGCAAGTGCGAGAAGAAGTAAGCTGGGACACAGATAATTCACACCCTCAACATACGATCACTAACCTCTCACCATACACCAACGTCAGTGTGAAACTCATCCTCATGAATCCCGAGGGACGGAAAGAAAGTCAAGAACTCATAGTACAGACAGATGAAGACTGTAAGTACTTTTAAATGATATGTTTACATGAAATACATATTCTTTCAAAGAAACAGCCCGTTACTTCTTTTAGGTTGAGATCTCTGTAATGAAAGTGAAGGAATGAGTTACTGTGTTGAAAAATATAAATGTGTATCTGTGCCTCTGAATTTAAGCACCGATGTAAAAGGGTAAAGGAGTAAAGATACAGAAGTTTATTTTAATTCTTTATGCATCGTACAGTTGCCTTTCTATATGTAATTATCCTACATTGCTCTAAATAGTTCTTCATTCAAATTTTATTATCATGCTAGACTTAAGAGTTGTTGTTTGGGTAGGAGATTATATGAAATGCTTATTTAAATATATTTACATGGCATTCTGAAACATATTTCATAGTTCAGATAAAAATTCACAAAATAGAGGCTGCCCTTGCTTTTCAGCACAGTGCTGAGAAATTACCTCATTAGGTTGCTGGCCATGGAATAGATGATACTTTCCCATAGGACCAATACTATAATTGGATATTACCTCAATAAACAAGGATTTAACAAAGAGGCAGTGCATGTCACTAGCAACTCATCAAAGAAAGCAAATACAGAGTTGCAGTAAACCTCTAAAATAATTTAGCATAGTAAAATTATCCATTGAATCCCAGAGCATGGACACAAATGAGCTTTTACATTGATTATACAGGGGACCCTCGCGCACAATAACATGTACATATGGCACATAAAATATGGTGGTAGCGTATCATATATTTGGCCTAAAATTTCTTTGCCAGGCATCAGAATAAGATGGCAAGGAACTTGAGAAGCCCATTAAGTGAATACACTTACTTATTCCTGGGCAAAAGATATTTCACTTTTTTCCTTTTTCTTCATGCAACTGATTATGCAGTGATCCTTGATCACCGATTATGGGAACTGGCCAGAGTAAATGATGAGCTCATCCCACAGATTTCTCTTTTCTTTTCTGTAGCCCCATCAAGCCCTGCCTGTGCTGGTTGCTTTCAAATAGTTGTCTCACTGCAGTTATTTTTGTCAGGAATATTAGCTTCCTTCAGGTCACCCAATCAGGGCTGAGACTTGGGGCCCCGTCTCTGTTTCTCCGAGTTCTTGGCCATCTTCCAGAAAAGTGGAATAAGATGTCAACATTATCAGTTGGCCACCTCTGACCCCCACCTCCATATTTCTATGCTTAATTTGGTTCTAACTCCTGTTGTTTCTACTTCCAAAATACTAACTTGTTCTTTTCTCTCAATTTCCACTACCTATATCCGGATCCTCGTTATTGCATGCTGAAATTTCTTTTCTTTTTTAATTTTTTTTTTTAATGTTTTTGTTTTATTTTTGAGACAGAGAGAGACAGAGCATAATCAGGGGAGGGGCAGAGAGAGAGGGAGACCCAGATTCCGAAGCAGGCTCCAGGCTCTGAGCTGTCAGCACAGAACCCAATACGGGGCTCGAACCCACGAGCTGTGAGATCATGACCTGAGCAGAAGTCAGACACTTAACTGACTGAACCACCCAGGGGCCCCTAATTTTTTTTTTTAATGTTTATTTATTGTTGAGAGACAGAGCGTGAGCAGGGGAGGGGCAGAGAGAGAGGGAGGCACAGAATCTAAAGCAGGTTCCAGGCTCTGAGCTGTCAGCACAGAGCCCGACGTGGGGCTTGAACTCATGGACTGTGAGATCATGACCTGAGCTGAAGTCGGAGGCTTAACCGACTGAGCCACCCAGGCGCCCCTACATGCTGAAATTTCTAACCTTCCTTGGTGGTTCCAGCTTTTGCCCATTCTAATGTTGCCTACTCAGCCACAAAACATGTTTAAAATACTCCTGCATCTCTGTTATTTCTCCTCCTTCATTTCTGATTTTATTTAGTTGAGTCCTCTCTCTTTGAGGAGGACATTTTTCCACATCTTTGTGGAGACATTTTTCTAGGTATGTCTCCTCTGGCAAGGTAAAAGAAAAGGAAAATTGAACTTTTGGGACTGCATCAAAATAAACAGCTTTTGCATAGCAAAGGAAATAATCAAAACATCAAAAAGGCAACCTACTGAATGGGAGAAGATATTTGCAGATGATATAGCTGACAGAGGTTAATATCAAACATATACAAAGAACATATACAATTCAGTGCCAAGAAAACAAATAATCCAATATAAAAACAGGCAAAAGACCTGAAGAGACATTTTTCCAAAGAAGACACACAGATGGCCAATAGACACATGAAGAGATGCTCAACATCACTCATCATCAGAGAAATGCAAGTTAAAACCACAATGAGATGTCACCTTATACCTGTCAAAATGACTAAAATCAAAAACACAAGAAATAACAAGTGTTGGTAAGGATGTGGAGAAAAAGGAACTCTGTGCGCTGTTGGTGGGAACATATACTGGTACAGCCACTGTGGAAAACATTATGGGGTTTCCTCAAGAAATTAAAAATAGAATTAACATATGATCCAGTAAATCTACTACTGAGTATTAATCCAAAAAATTGAAAACACTAATTAAAAAAGGTATGTGCACCCCTATTTTTATTGTGACATTGTTTACAATAATCAAGATATAGAAGCAACCCAGGTGTCCACATATAGATGGACAATATATGGAACATTACTCAGCTGTAAAAAAGAATGAAATCTTGCCACATGGCATGGATGGACCCTAGAGAGTATAATGCAAAGTGAAATAAGTTAGAGAAAGACAAACACCATATCAAATCACTCATATGTGGAATTTAAGAAACAAAACAAATGAACAAAGGGGAAAAAAAAGAGAGAAACCAAAAAACAGACTTAAATACAGAGGACAAACTGGTAGTTGCCAGAGGAGAGGTGGGGGGGGGGGATGGGTGGAATAGATAAAAGGGATTAGAAGTACACTTATGCTGATGAGCACTGAGAAATGTATAGAATCATGGAATCATATGGTACACCTAACACTAATATAACACTGTATGCTAATTATACTTGAAATAAAAAAGTTTTAATCACAATATAAAAATACATTTGTATCGTGTCACTCTCTCCACAGAGCTGTCATTGACTTTGTTTAAATCTTGGCTTCCAAGGTCTTCTGCTTTCCTGGCTCATACTCTAGAACTAGTGACTTTTCCTCCAGTGCAGATCATTCTGCCCAGAATGTCACCCAGGCAGCAGGTCTGGTAGGCCATGTCCTTTCCATTCCACGCTCTTCCTCCAGGTCTGCTCTCCAGCGCCGCCTGCCGTCCACCTGGCTGCATCTCGCTTCCATTTCCTCTGCTGCCCTCCAAAGGGCTCCTCAGGCTTCAGGTCCTTCACAAAGCTGCCTCCAACTCCTCCAGCCTGTAGCACTCTCACCCCTCTGACCTCCTTTGCACCTGATAAGAATCTTTTAATCTATGGGCTTTAATTCCCTCATCTGAAAAGTGAGAATAATAAGAGTTGTCAAGCATATTAGAGTTAGAGGAAATTTACATAGAGAGCCATTTGTAGCTGACAGAGAGAGGCCTTTAATGAGCGATCATTATTGTTGTTGCAGTGATTCAAAGCAACTCCTTGTGACCTTTCCTTGCTCTTTTTGTTATATTTAATCTTTTCGTCTGTTAACTACAAACTGGAGAGAAGAAGCCTTCTATTCTTCTTCTGTAACAATAGGCACGATACAGATTGCGAAATAAAACACTCAGAAGTGTTCTGTTCGTCTTTAGATAAAACAGTAAAGTTTGCTGATCATCACCTCATTGAGGTTTTCATCAACAGTAATGTTTTAACCAAGGAGAGGGAAGATGATATGTAGTCCTTTCTAGAGACGAGCAGGTGTGTCTTACTCAAAGCCACGTGAGCGAACCCAGTCACTACTTTTGGGTTTCGAATTGAGAAAGGACAGGAGATGGGAGTTCTGTTAAGTTCCATCAGAACATGAGGTAAGAATAACTTACCTTTTTGTGTAAATTACCTTGCTAGTCCCAGAAGTTGGGGCATGCATGACTTCCAAAAAAAATTCTACTGTGTCCGTAGCACACGGGCATGCAGTTAATTAGAAAAGCTTTTATTTCAAATTTTATTTCCTAACAACAAAGACTTCGAAAACAGAGAAAGAGAAAAAAAGACAAAAATAGAATAATTGTCATTTCTGAGTTTGAAAAAAATGGGGTGGTCACTTTATGTGTCTACCATTATAAAAGGCTACAGTTCATTGAACATTATGAATTTTACTCTGGTAAAATATGTTTATTGAGTATTTATTTCATGAGAAAGTACATGGAAAAAATTACCTCTTTATCACTGTTAAAGATATCACAAGAATAGAGCTCAGTTCCACAAACTTAGAAACTAGAGCTTATTTATCCCAAATCCTGAATTTCTAAGAACTTCTGAAAACAGGTAGTAGACCTAAGTTCCTGTGAGACACTGTTATTCCTAATTTATTCAACTCTTCCGGTATTTTATTTTAGTTTACTTTGTCTGCTCCTGACCTTAAAAATATATATGTATATTATGTATATACATTCATTTATATATTATTTAATTATTATTATTTAATCATTTATATATATTCATTTATATATTATATATGCATGTATATGTACATATATTATATATATAATTATCTATAAATATAGTGTACATGTATATTTATATAATATCCATATATATGATATATATACGAATCTCAGTTAGGTTTTCTTGGTAACATGTCCACAGTGCCATCAAGTGCAGGATCTCCAGTACATTTTAATAAGTTTACCCCTTTAAGTTGTCCTCTCTTCAGCATAATTTTGACTTTCCCATTTTATTTTACTATGATTTAAACTAACTGAATGAAACCAAAGATATATTTTTTTCTAAGTCTTCACCTCTTTACATCTGCACATACATAGATTAGTAAGTATTCTCAATTAGGAAATATCATCTCAGAATAATAGAACCACTCATATTTGCCTTGATACCACGAGAAGACTGATGATGATGTCATAATAAACACTTTCAAGGTCAAGAGGAAGAGACTAAGTAGAGTTTTCACTGGCATGGCCCATTTTACTTCAGCTTCTGATTGATGAATATTACCATCTTAAATTCTGGACTCTGAATTTTCTTAGAACCTATCAGTGTTATAACTTCTTAAATGTGTTGGTTTTCTTTATTTCTGCATAGTTTCACATCAGTTCCTTCAACCTGAGATAAACAATTATTTTCATATTTATGTATTATTTAGAGTTTGGATGGTAGAGGTGAACTTAGTCCAACTTCCTCATTTTAGACATGAGGAAACTGAGGCCCAAAGAGGTTCAGTGAATTGTCCAAAATTGTACACTTTAATTACTGAAAAGTCTTGGGCTGCCTGGGTGGCTCAGTCGGTTAAGTGTCTGACTTTTGATTTTGGCTGAGGTCGGGATCCCAGAGTTATGAGATTGAGTCCCACATTGGGCTCTGTGCTGGATGTGGAATCTGCTTGAGATTCTCTCTCTCCCTCTTCCTCTGCCCCTCCCCCCTCAAAAATAATACATAAATAAATAATTACTGAAAAGTCTTAAATCATAACCCAGTCCTCACGTCTGAATCTGAATCTGTATCTTTTTTTTTCTGCCAAGCTATACTTAGCTGTGTTTAAAATAACTATAAAATCTTACATCTACCTCAGTAGCCCCTCAACTAAAAAAATGTGTACTACCTATGAGTCCTTTTGAAATTCTAGGCAGCCTTTCCAACCTCGGACATCTTACCAACCCTTAAAGGTCCATTCATATCCTCCCACAATCTAAAACATTCTCTAACCCCCTTTTTAAACTGTATTGAGGGGCGCCTGGGTGGCGCAGTCGGTTAAGCGTCCGACTTCAGCCAGGTCACGATCTCCCGGTCCGTGAGTTCGAGCCCCGCGTCGGGCTCTGGGCTGATGGCTCAGAGCCTGGAGCCTGTTTCTGATTCTGTGTCTCCCTCTCTCTCTGCCCCTCCCCCGTTCATGCTCTGTCTCTCTCTGTCCCAAAAAAATAAATAAACGTTAAAAAAAAAAAAAATTTAAACTGTATTGAGATGTTTATCCATTCATGAGTTGATGAACATTTGGGTTGTTTCCACTTGAGCTATTATGAAAATGCTATTAATATTTATATATTAATATTCATGATTTTATTTTAATATTCATGTATAATTTTTTGAGTAATATATGTTTTCAGTTCTCTTGAGTATGTACCTAGGAGTGGAATTCACACAGTACATTTATCTGTGTGTATCTGTTTGAAGAGCTGCTAGGTTGTTTTCAAAGGAGCTGTATGATTTTATAGTCCCTTCAACATGAGGGTTTCAGTTTCTTCACATTCTCTGCAATGTTTATTATTTGCCTTTGGATTATCCCATTTTAATGGTTTGAAATACTATGTCATTGTGGTTTTGATTTGCATTTTCTGTCTGGCTACTGATGTTGAGCATCGTTTCATGTGCTTATTGGCCAGTTGTGTATCTTTTTTGGCAAAGTATTTATACAGACCCTTTGCCCATTTTTAATTGGATTATTTGTTTTCTTACTGGGTTTTAATAGTTCTTTATGTATTTAAGATACAAGTCTCTTGCCAGATAAATGATTTGCAAAAATTTTCTCCTATTCAGTGTGTTGCCTTTTCACTTTCGTGATAATGCCACTGGAAGCACAAAGGCTTTCATTCTGATGATGTACTTTATCTACTTTTTTTGTGTATGTGTGCTTTTGGTGTCATGTCCAAGAAACTGTGGCCTAATCCAAGGTCATGAATATTGACACCTGTGTTTCATTCTAAGAGTTTTGTAGTTTTAGCTCATACATTTATCTCTTTAATCTATTTTGATGTAAACTTTATATATGGTGTGAGGTAAGAATCCAACTTCATTTTTTTGCATACGGATATCCAGTTGTCCCAGCACCATTTGTTGAAAAGGTTATTATCTCCCAATTAAATTTTCCTGGCACCCTTCATGAATACCACCTGACTGCAAATGTAGAGATTTGTTGTTGTATTCTCAATTCTCTTCCACTAATCTGTACGCTTATCTTTATGTCAGTACCACACTGTCATGATATAATAGCTTTGTAATAAGTTTTGAGAAGTGTGAGGCCTCTCCTACCACTCTTTGATTACTCACACTGTCACCAAAAAATTTGATCATGCACCTTCAAATATATGTAGAAATACTACAGGTATACTAGTTTTTAAATAGGATAAACACACCAATACACTAAATTATATATAATATAAAGCATATGTGCAAAAAAGGAATTTAAATGAAGAGGAGATAAATAATATTTTTAAGCAATATTAAATGTTATTTTATAGAAAATTGGCAGGTAAATTTCCACCTTCCCTTATGCCCATTAGATTTTTTTTTTTGAAAACTAGTTAGTTCAGGTTTTTAAAAAAGTCACACCAAAGGGGCACCTGGATGGCTTAGTTGGTTAAGTGTCCTGCTCTTGATTTCAACT